ACAGCTGTGGGGCAGGAGGAGGCCGAGTCGCAAGTGGCGGGAGTAAGAGGAGGGAGTGCGGAGCCTGATTTTGGGGTCGTGGGGACTGGTGGAAGACCGGCGTGGAGGGCTGGAGGCGGCAGGGCCCGGCGAGGCCGCGATGAAGCCAAGCCGCGAGGACCAGGCGGCGCCCGCTGGGGGCCCCTGGGAGGAGTGCTTCGAAGCGGCGGTGCAGCTGGCCTTGAGGGCAGGACAGGTGAGCGCCGTGGCCCTCCTACCCCGCCACGGCAGGGTCTCGATGAGCGCAGCCCTGCCGGGCTGGGCGGGCACTCTGCCCGCCTCACACCTACTCGGACTTAGGAGAATCCGAGAAGTCGGACCACAGGGGCTCCTCTGGGGCTTGGGGAAACCGGTCCCAGGACTGCGTGCGGCCGCGGGGTTGGCAGACCGGGGCCGGGTCTGGGTTCAGGGTCCTCGAGTACGGAGCCGGACTGGCGCGACCGAGCCGCGTGTGGTGGGCGTCTGGTGACGGCGGACTGAGGCTTGATGCTGTGAAAGAAGTCTTTGTGTTCGTTTCCTGCACAGACCTTCCCTTTACCTGCTTCACCCCAGGAGCCGGGGAGGTGAACTCTTTCTTCCGTGGCGGTGGTAGCCACCCATTAAGCATGTCTCCTTTTGCAGTTGAACGGCTGTAGGTGACTTGACCTTTGCGTAGGAAGGAGCAAGTTAGAATATATTGACTATGCAGATCAGTCCAGGACTTTAAAATTTTGTCCTAAGCATGAATGCCACAGTTGTTTGTTTTTTAAAGACCTTTGAATTGATCCACTGGCCAGGACATGAGAGTGGTTTGCCCCCAGGTTTAAACCCCAGCTGCTTGGAGACCTGGCAGGCTTGCTGTTTGTCTTTCCTCAAGCATCCCGAATGCAAACTTACTCTGACCCACAGCCTCAATCAAAGTGGTTCCACTCAGTGATTGGAGGAACTCGTTAACACTGATCGGCAGGGTGAAAATCGAGCAGCAGAGCTTAAAACCTGTACTCGAATTTGAAAATGCAACTCTTCTCTCTTCTCATTTTTCATTTTTGTGTGTTTTGTTCTCCACATTTTCCTCAGTACCTTCAGCAGTGCCTGACACATAGTAGGCATGCAGTCCACACTGTGGGATAAATGAGTGGGTGTTGGTTCTCCCAGGACTGTCAGGGCAGAGTTAGATTGAGTGGGAAGATGGCTTACTCCTGCTTTGCTTGTAAGGTACATGATTGTGTTTTGTTGATCGGGAGGACAAAGATGGACGGGAGAAGGAGCTATGTATGAGAGGAGATTGACTTGTGCAAACAACATTTTTTTTCAGGTCTAGCAGTCTGAAAATGCTTTACAAGTTTTCCTGCAGTGTTAAAATCTGGCTGCTTTCATCTAAATTTGAAGTGAGCCATCATGTGCATAGTGGGTAGTGCTTTACTTTGGTATGAGTCCTCTAATCCCCTTTAAAAGTTAATCTTCAACACCGGGTGGACACATACAGTGTTGGAACGTCCTAAGGACCCAAGACAGCCTATAAAGAATGCATGTCTTAAAGGAATGTTGTGAAGCTTTCCTTTGGTTCCGTTTCCTTTCACTCCTGTAGGAAAAGGAGACCCCAAGTCTTATGAGCTAGTGTGCTGAAGCTCATAGCTTGCAGGATGAATGAACATTCTTCCTAGAAAGCAGATCCACTGTGGGGGAGCATTTGTTTTTCTGCCCCTCCCTCCCTCCCTCCCTCCAAGCCCCCTCACTTCACTTCCTTTCCAGAGTAACTATCACCAGAATATTTAGTAACTTTTAGGTTCTACTATAAAACTTTTTCGTTGAGGCTGTGAGAAGAAGCCAGTCAGACATTACTATGTAAATCCTGGTGAGTTGTTATGGGTTTCTGTGGTTTTTCAAATTTAGATCCTTGAAGATACAGAGAGTTTTAAAAACATTTTAACAAATACTTATATAGAGCTTGCAATATGGCAGGCCCCATTTAAGAGTCTTATGAATTTTAACTTATTTAGGAGATAAGTGTTTGTAGCTTGCCAACAACAAAAAAGCTTTTTTTTTAAGAGTGGGGGAGGGGTGAAATAAAGATTCTGCCATTAAGAGTCTGGTCAGGGAGCCCAGGACTCTGGGCTCCCTCTTGGGCATTATGCTGATGATTCCTGCCTGCTGGGCAGTGAGGGGGAACATGGCCAAAATGGTCTGTGGCTAGAACAATGAGAAGCCACACAAGGTCATTGTAACGTGTGTAAAGAGGGACAAATTGTCTTAATAATGTTCTCAGTAATGGGGTGCTGATTGGAGAAAATCTGGCCTTTAGCCAGATAGTCAGGAGAGGTTTGAAAAGGTAGTGGTGATCCTTTTCTGGGTCTTGCTTAGCTAAGGCAGTGGTTGGCACAGTTACCGCAGCCTTTGTGGCCCAGCATGCCCACCCCATCACCGATACCCAGTGTTCTGCTATTTTATTGAGTTTGCTACGCTCAGCCGTTCCTGAGACAGTTCTGTGTGCTGAATTCTCAAGTCTGGATTCTATTTGCTGAAAGGTAGATAGAATAGAGGGAGGGACCTCCTAAGAGATAAACGTCACAGCCCTTGATCTTTCCTCTCTACCTTCAGCAGAGTTGGTTCTGGTCAGGGCAGCTTTAGACAGTTTGCTCAATCCTCAGAGGTCTCCACAAAAGCAAGGCCTCCCTACCCCAAAGTGCTGCCCCTGCTCGACAGATGGCCTCCCCTGTTCTCCCTTCCTTCTTTCCTCTCCACCACACATTCCTGTAGTGCCTCTTGGAGTCATCCCTCTTTATCCAGGCCCAACCACCCGCACCACTGCAGGAACCCCTCCCTGGCTTATGGGCTTTGTAGGGATGTGTGTTTGACTTCAGCCTCACCCCATCACCACCACAAATATAAATAGCTGTATTCACTGAAATGGGTGTCATTTTTTAGGTGCTGGGTAAACAAAGGTATCTTGGAAAATTATGCTTTTTAATTGTTGTGCAGGAGTAGATTCAGGTTTTGTTGGGCCTGAAGCTTAGACAAGTTAGGGGCCCTCTTTAAGAAAAAAATACAAAATTACAAATTTAAAATTAGATATAAAAATTATTTAGAATAAGAAAAATCAACGGTATAAATTTTAAGATGCTAACAATATAACAAAATACATAAAAATGCTTCTCAACCTTCTGTAATACTTTTTTCACATTTTTTGGCTTCATATTCTGCATTTTCAAAGGACAATGATTTTGTAAGATTTTCTCTGGAGAGAATAGAAAGGTAAATTTAGGCTTTGCTATAGCATGGCTGGTTAAAATTGATTACCGATAGTTTAGAAAAATTTCTTTAAGCTTCGACCAGGTAAGGTCATATAAATTTTTAACATTGCCATCAAATTTTAGAATTCTGTCAATTTTTATGTATTAGTTGTGAGATGTGGGAGAATTTTCCATAGAAAATTTTGGCTCTGTACGGTTGAAGCTTTGTTTCTTTCCATGATTCCTTGTGCCAGCTGCCACTGCCCACCCGTTCCTGTGGTCCTGCCATTTATATCACTATGCCAGGTCAGTTGGTGTGTGTACTGCACAGAATGGCTAACAGTATCTTACAGATGTGACTGCAAACCCCACAGATACATCCCATCTAACCCAAAGTAAATGCGTCTCCGCTCAACTTTAGCCACCTCAATGCCACCTGACATGAAATATGATGGAGGGGAGGTCATA